TTGTACGGCAGTGAAGCATTGGTGTTGAACACTGATGTCATGCTGTCGATGATGATGATGTTTGTAATCCAAATTCGAAGCTCAGCGAACAGACCAACAACCAACTCAAAGACATTTTAACACTTGTCAGTGCCTAACGCTGCTGTTGGTAATCAAATTGTGTGGAAGTAAATGGCAGTACGATATGCTATTCGGTTTGTTGGTAGCTCACGTAGGGTGGTCGTTGTTTAATTCACCAATGTGGCCTTTCTATTGCAACCGTTTCATCAGAGTGTGAAGTGGCATCATAAGTGAGTTGTTATGGGGTGTAGGGGAGCTAGCCAGGCTTATTTTTGGTCGCAGTTGGTTGTTCCATCGAGTGGTTCCATTAGTTGGTCTGTCAACTGGTGTCCTGATTGTTCGATGATCACGTGACCTTTGAGGTTGACCTCCTTCGCTCTCGTATTCTCGTCGGTGCAGGGGTGACCTGATTTGATGTGATCGGATGGAGTTTATCGGTTCATCAACCTGATATTGGGCTCTGTTTAAGCACTACTGCTGAGATATTGATCCTTTGCACGTAGTGGTCCGTAACTTGGATCCAGTTTAATGCGTCAGTTGGTTGATTCTGTCATGCTTTTTGAAGTTCCCCTTGTATGTCTTGTGCTTCCGTATGCCAATATTTTTACGTTTTCCAGATTGAATTTGTGACCTTTCGTGACCTTTGTTTCGTATCTTCTGACGGCTACGTTGTGTTCTTCTATTCGTGTGTAAAATTTCCGCATTTGTCCACCATCATCGACAGCATGACATCAGTGTGTCCAACGTGGAACTTGTAGTCGATTTCGTACATCATGTTGTTCCCCTTCCGTCCTTAGATTGGCTTTCATTTTGTGGAAACGCGGCCTGAGCCTTGCAGATTCGTACATTCACCTCATCCGTCACACTACAATCAGAACGAATACAACTTCCAAGATAGGTTAAGCGCTCCATAACTTCCAGTACATCTCCCTGGATTGTAAGTGACATGTTCGGTGAGTGCACGTCCATGAGCATGGTGCAAAGTGCATACCAATAGACGGGATGACTTGGTCAGTTCATCCAGAAACAACTGCGCCTTCTCCTCTTCGAACATGGGAAGGATGTCGTCTGCATATTCCAGATCGACAAGGTTTTCTTCACAGGCTATTTGAACACGGGTTTCGGAGACCCTCCAGCGTTCGTCAGGAAGTTGGAAAGGATGGAGATAGTGGGCATCCCTGACGGACACCGCTTTGTGTATGGAAGCTTTTGGAGGGCTCTTCGTAAACTCACGCACGTCCAACGTGCATCTTGTTGTAATCGATTTTGTACATCATATTGTACCCCTTGTCCTTCTGTCCTTAGTTTGGCTATCAGACTGTGGCCTACCCTGATTCCATTTTGAGCTAATTGTCCGGTTGGGACTCCAGATATAATCTTGATGTAGAGTTGTCCGTACAGCTAATCGCTTGTTCTTGGTGTTGTTGTTGAAGTGTCTTCTTCAAACTTGTCGTGAGAAAGTGTTTTGGATATCCATTGTTCTTGGATACTCTGAATAGATGGTTTCTTTCTTAGTTTCGCTTTCTTGAATAGGGATTGAATTCGGCACGTCTTGTGTTCATCGAATGGTTGCCTTTCTAGGTAAATATGTGATCCGCATGTCTCCTTATGGTTTATGCAGGTTTACAGAACCCTATCTACTTTTCTGTTAAAAAACGTCCAAGAATGGTAGTCGCTTGTTCCCATCCAGTTTGACTATACATTTGATATCTTCAAACCTAGTATTGATCAGTTCATGCGCGTTGTGTACTGAATTTCGTTCCTCGGTGACAGAAGTGCAAACCTGCAAAAGAACATTTTTCACACATTTGTATGCACGGCGATATCTATTGGACACGTTCCAATTTCTAAGTGCACACAACTATAAACGTTTGAAATTAAGTTGAGAAAAGAATACTGTTCGTAGAGGAACACACCTCTTGGTGTGATGAGTCACACTTACTCTTCTCAATGGGAGGTGTTCCTCTTCACAGGTGTTCTGCTCGCTAGACAGTGATTTTTAATAAACTGTTACCGGTAACTGTTTGACAGAACTGGAAAGTATCCTCTTTGTATGGCTGATAGCCAACTTCAATGGATTGCTCTGTGTACCACTCGAGTAAGCTTAATTTTCACTCATTCGCACCACCTGCAGATTCCCCTCCCCTACAGAGGCTCAACTTGAAATATGGCTTACAGAGATTTGTTGATTTTATCGTTTTGGTTTATGTGCTTGTGATGATAGGTTTACCATACCACAACACAGGATCCAGGTAACTTCATGAATTTTATTTTATGTTGTTAGGGCATCGAGCACCGGACAAGAAAAGGAGACTATTGGTCCCTATCCCTAGATTACTTCATGTATGTTTGAGAAATCCATCAAACAGGATAGGATTGAGTCTAGCGTATGTGTGCCTACGTCTTGTTTTAACCGACTCAGTATTAGAGCTACCTAACGCCTGCCCACTGAAGCAGCTGACTTGGCACGTGCACAAGTCTTTCCAGCACCACCTACTAGAAGTCTATCAGTAGTGTAAAGGCTGTCAGTATTTTTCCGGAGCAGTTCGCGCAGGCGCGCTGTACGTTCGGCCGATCATTGGCATTAATAATTTGCACTCAAGCAACCCAGCTGTCAGCTCCCCCCGTTCTTGCCACGCGATGTGCTGTTTTCTGACACCTGGGGTAACGATGTCTCGGGGCGAACATTTCTGTCTTTCTACCTAAGGTTCTCCACGTCTGGATGTGGTCACTCCCGGAAAGAAGTCTTGTTCGTTTGGGACGATAATACACCACATCCGGAAAACATGAACCAGATGGGCATCTAAATCTTGAAAGGATGCTACTCACAAGGTCGATGAAGAACCTCTGATGTTCTGCTGCCGATTTGGGCATAATCACAGTTAATGCGTAGGCTCCGGGCTTACACTAACCGGACTCGATGCGTCGTAAATACCTCAGTCAGGCAACAGCAAATTCTGTTCAGCCCATTAGGTTCAGTTACCGATCCATGATAACGCTTGTACTCATGAACACTTCCCCGACGCCTGTCGGACACAAACTGATGACCGTATCCTGTGTTTCGATGTTCGCACTGTCTACATTCGTCAGAACAATAACAGCCTACTCAGTTGCCCACGCACGTTGAACGAAACAAAATCTCGTTTTTTCGCTATGATTTTTAGAGAGTTACACCGGGATGCAGCATCCTTGAAGAAAACGTTCCTACATTCCTTGTAACATGTACTGGTGTAACGGTGGGTATTATTGATAGAGATATGCGAGTAGTATTTTTCCTCGTAAATCCGTTTCGCGTCCCTTTAAAAGTGGGATCTATTACGGAATCAGTGGAGTCGCATTTGCTTGCGTTTGAGCAACAGGCAATGAATGTCCAGGAAAGTTTAGGAGGACCCGTTCAAGGAGAGGGTGGATATTCAGTTTTTGTAAACAAGATGTATATGAGAGTTTTTCCTCCCTGTCCAATAGTCTGTATGCCAATATTTTTACGTTTTCCAGATTGAATTCGTGACCTTTGTTTCGTATCTTCTGACGGCTACGTTGTGTTCTTCTATTCGTGTGTAAAATTTCCGCATTTGTCCACCATCATCGACAGCATGACATCAGTGCTTCACTGCCGTACAACCATGACTTATTTGAAAGTCTTATTGTTAAGAAAAGAGTTAAGGTGGACGGGGAAGGAACTCAGTGCTAGCTTAACACAATCAACGATTGTCGAACACCTCAAGACGTCTCAGGTCCACTGCTCGAATAGGCCAAGTCTCAGCCGCTCAACAAAACAGCCCGTACTGTAGCTTGATACACACGTCCCTTCAGATTCAGGGATAAACCATTCTGACGCCATAAGTGTCTCAAGCAAATAAACGCGGCCTGAGCCTTGCAGATTCGTACATTCACCTCATCCGTCACACTACAATCAGAACGAATACAACTTCCAAGATAGGTTAAGCGCTCCATAACTTCCAGTACATCTCCCTGGATTGTAAGTGACATGTTCGGTGAGTGCACGTCCATGAGCATGGTGCAAAGTGCATACCAATAGACGGGATGACTTGGTCAGTTCATCCAGAAACAACTGCGCCTTCTCCTCTTCGAACATGGGAAGGATGTCGTCTGCATATTCCAGATCGACAAGGTTTTCTTCACAGGCTATTTGAACACGGGTTTCGGAGACCCTCCAGCGTTCGTCAGGAAGTTGGAAAGGATGGAGATAGTGGGCATCCCTGACGGACACCGCTTTGTGTATGGAAGCTTTTGGAGGGCTCTTCGTAAACTCACGCACGTCCAACGTGCATCTTGTTGTAATCGATTTTGTACATCATATTGTACCCCTTGTCCTTCTGTCCTTAGTTTGGCTATCAGACTGTGGCCTACCCTGATTCCATTTTGAGCTAATTGTCCGGTTGGGACTCCAGATATAATCTTGATGTAGAGTTGTCCGTACAGCTAATCGCTTGTTCTTGGTGTTGTTGTTGAAGTGTCTTCTTCAAACTTGTCGTGAGAAAGTGTTTTGGATATCCATTGTTCTTGGATACTCTGAATAGATGGTTTCTTTCTTAGTTTCGCTTTCTTGAATAGGGATTGAATTCGGCACGTCTTGTGTTCATCGAATGGTTGCCTTTCTAGGTAAATATGTGATCCGCATGTCTCCTTATGGTTTATGCAGGTTTACAGAACCCTATCTACTTTTCTGTTAAAAAACGTCCAAGAATGGTAGTCGCTTGTTCCCATCCAGTTTGACTATACATTTGATATCTTCAAACCTAGTATTGATCAGTTCATGCGCGTTGTGTACTGAATTTCGTTCCTCGGTGACAGAAGTGCAAACCTGCAAAAGAACATTTTTCACACATTTGTATGCACGGCGATATCTATTGGACACGTTCCAATTTCTAAGTGCACACAACTATAAACGTTTGAAATTAAGTTGAGAAAAGAATACTGTTCGTAGAGGAACACACCTCTTGGTGTGATGAGTCACACTTACTCTTCTCAATGGGAGGTGTTCCTCTTCACAGGTGTTCTGCTCGCTAGACAGTGATTTTTAATAAACTGTTACCGGTAACTGTTTGACAGAACTGGAAAGTATCCTCTTTGTATGGCTGATAGCCAACTTCAATGGATTGCTCTGTGTACCACTCGAGTAAGCTTAATTTTCACTCATTCGCACCACCTGCAGATTCCCCTACAGAAGAGCGGCTCAACTTGAAATATGGCTTACAGAGATTTGTTGATTTTATCGTTTTGGTTTATGTGCTTGTGATGATAGGTTTACCACAGTCGAACACAGGATCCAGGTAACTTCATGAATTTTATTTTATGTTGTTAGGGCATCGAGCACCGGACAAGAAAAGGAGACTATTGGTCCCTATCCCTAGATTACTTCATGTATGTTTGAGAAATCCATCAAACAGGATAGGATTGAGTCTAGCGTATGTGTGCCTACGTCTTGTTTTAACCGACTCAGTATTAGAGCTACCTAACGCCTGCCCACTGAAGCAGCTGACTTGGCACGTGCACAAGTCTTTCCAGCACCACCTACTAGAAGTCTATCAGTAGTGTAAAGGCTGTCAGTATTTTTCCGGAGCAGTTCGCGCAGGCGCGCTGTACGTTCGGCCGATCATTGGCATTAATAATTTGCACTCAAGCAACCCAGCTGTCAGCTCCCCCCGTTCTTGCCACGCGATGTGCTGTTTTCTGACACCTGGGGTAACGATGTCTCGGGGCGAACATTTCTGTCTTTCTACCTAAGGTTCTCCACGTCTGGATGTGGTCACTCCCGGAAAGAAGTCTTGTTCGTTTGGGACGATAATACACCACATCCGGAAAACATGAACCAGATGGGCATCTAAATCTTGAAAGGATGCTACTCACAAGGTCGATGAAGAACCTCTGATGTTCTGCTGCCGATTTGGGCATAATCACAGTTAATGCGTAGGCTCCGGGCTTACACTAACCGGACTCGATGCGTCGTAAATACCTCAGTCAGGCAACAGCAAATTCTGTTCAGCCCATTAGGTTCAGTTACCGATCCATGATAACGCCTGTACTCGTGAACACCCTTCCCCGACGCCTGTCGGACACAAACTGATGACCGTATCCTGTGTTTCGATGTTCGCACTGTCTACATTCGTCAGAACCATAACAGCCTACTCAGTTGCCCACGCACGTTGAGCGAAACAAAATCTCGTTTTTTCGCTATGATTTTTAGAGAGTTACACCGGGATGCAGCATCCTTGAAGAAAACGTTCCTACATTCCTTGTAACATGTACTGGTGTAACGGTGGGTATTATTGATAGAGATATGCGAGTAGTATTTTTCCTCGTAAATCCGTTTCGCGTCCCTTTAAAAGTGGGATCTATTACGGAATCAGTGGAGTCGCATTTGCTTGCGTTTGAGCAACAGGCAATGAATGTCCAGGAAAGTTTAGGAGGACCCGTTCAAGGAGAGGGTGGATATTCAGTTTTTGTAAACAAGATGTATATGAGAGTTTTTCCTCCCTGTCCAATAGTCTGTAACTGTTCACTTGGCGCTTTGTAATAAATAACTCCACGGCGAAGGCCTTCTTTCTTTCAACACACCTTTCAGTATACACCGCTAGCCTGATTAAATAAAAACGGTTGTTAACACGGTATCCAGATTTCGTCAGATTCATGAGACAATTGACCAGTCACTAATTAGGTGGAGAAAACGTTTCGAAAGGTACCATGTGAACTCTCAGCATCACACCAAGTCTAGTGACGGAAGTTTTAAAAGATTGTTGTGGTTGTAACTGCTGACTTAATCATATATTAATAGCAAGTAGCCTGTTCCCTTTATCTTACACAGAAATGGTTTTTATCTTCATCTGGCCTCACTTTCCAACTCTGTGTCTGAAGATGAGCCTCCTTGTAGGCGAGTTCGAGCGCAACTTTTAAAGTTGATTTTACCTTACAAATATAAATTGGTTCAAATCCTCGACACATACACTGGTTTGCAAATCAATTTGGTTTGCACGGGAGACTCATGTGAATCTCTCGGTTATGATGTTCTCCAGTTGAATGTGCTGCACACAATCCGCCTCATGTTTCATTTTGCACGCTATTCGAGATATCGCAGTATAGTTTCATAAAGGAAACTACTCACAAGGTTCCCCCAAAACTCTTCGACAGTCCACGATCAACAAGTTTGATGTTCTCCGGACAAGCGGCTGGCAGTCAGCTCGAATTGAAAGGATTTATCCATTGACTTCGGTCCTAAACTCGTCGGCTGTTTTCCTGAATCCTGGAACCTGGAACCTTGATAAGAATACACGCCTGAACGTCTACCCAGGACACTACTCATCTCCCAAACAGATACACCAATTGACCAAGCAAAATCAATTACTGTATTGCGCAGTCAACCTTGTCTACTGAAATGAAAATCAGTAACTGAAAGTCCCCATATTTCCTTTCTGCGGTCCTTGAACTGTCAAGTCAGTTGGTTGGTTCAGGTGCGCTGAAAAGCGCATAGAAATGTGTGAATTGTTTCCGGGTGCAGTCGCAAAGTTACTTCATTCAGTCTTCTCTGAATCACGTTCGAATTTGACCCAGTCGCCTGGTCATTCAGGTCACTGCCAGGCCAGTGCAATTGCTGTGTAAGTGGGGAATTTATCGACTGATCTGCTGTCAGGTTAAGCTCAGTGCAGTTATGTATATGAATTCGGCTGAATAGCCAAGATAAATGTAAAAGGTACGGTCTGCGTCGCATAGGTGGGCCTTTGGTGTAGGATTTCTGAAAGTTTTCAAGACGGATGAGAAGTTGTTGCTTCTTTTCAATTTCGGTTTCCGTTAGTGGCCACGCAACCAAATTCAGAAGGTGTATATGATATGGAAGTGAACTGTTCAGCCCGGACCAACTAAGAGTATGCGGATCGATCGGAGCGGAACTGCGGCGTTTGTTGAAGAAGATAATTGGTGGCTTGGTCACTCTTGTTGCGAACTCACGATCCCTGTTGAGTACCACTGATTGTAAGTCCAAGTGGATCCAGTGTTGTCCCCGTACAATGAGGCCTGGAAATATAAAAAAACGAGTAGCTGTGGATTGCATATTCTTTTCAGAATTTGTCGCGGAGAAACAACCCTTCTAGTGAGTGCGGTAGATATTGATTAAACAAAATGAAAGACACGAACTGTCCAGTTAAATGGGACTATGTTCAATGTAATTCGACAAGTAGCATGTACTCGGTCGGGTATTTTGCATGATTTCACGAGGCCTTTGTGGCGTCTGTGAACTGCGGACCTTCCATGTGCCATCATCATCAACGATTGCAACGACGCCAGTATGAGTGCTACCATAAAAACACCTAAATGTGGGTTTGATCCCGCCCAGTCTTGTAGCAGCACTTTACACTTTGCCGGTGTGAAGCCCAAACGAACTATCCGTCTTTGTTATTCAAATTATTGAGAATCGTTTCCGTTTGGGAAGGATCTGAACCAAAGAGAGCAATGTCGTGTGCATACTTAATGTCTCTGAGGGAACGTCCCAGGGGCATTTCGATTCCCGAGGTTTCAGAGGCAGGCACAGAAATTTCAAGCAGCATGTCAATAACAAAGTCGAAGAGGAAAGCGGACAGCCTTGTCTTACACCACTGGATGTGGTGAACTCAGGTGGGAGCTTCCCGTGTACTCGTAGGCACCCACAGGAGTTTGCATACAGACATGAATTTGAAAGGAACACCGGGATCGCCAGACACTGCCAAAGTTGCTAACGATCGACAGGATCGAAACCAGCTTTCAAATCCAGAAAAAGGCGACCAACGTGGAACGTCTGTTCAAGAATTTGTTTCAAGGAAAGACATGGTCGATGCATCCTTGACCAGAGCAAAATCCAGCTTGATTCTCACGAATCTGCCTATCCCGATAATCTATCAACCTGCGCAAACTAGTGCCAGAGAGTATCTTAGATGCGACGGATACCAGGCTGATACCACGATGGTTTTCACATGACCTTCTTGCTCCTTCTTTGGAAACTGGCTGTCTTGCCACCAGAAAGTAGCACGAAGTCTGGGGCGCTGCCAGTCGAAAGGCGGAGGTCGGGTTCGAACCACAAACCTTCCGGTCAGTAAATTTGCGCTCTTGCCACTTGGTTCAACTCGCCTCGGGCCTTTCTAAACAGCCTAGGATTCTCATATTTCACGGGATGTAAAAAGGCCAGTGCAAAAGTCAGCTATGAAAAAAAGCATTAGGTAATTAGGGCTTTTATGAATATGTTGTTTCAGGAGAAGGGAAACAGGTCTAGTTTGCTCAATTTGAACACAGTTGGTAGAAAATCGGTACTACGACTACCTAATGAACTCCAAGGAAAGTACAACCGGTCGTGGGCTATCGAACGGTTTTGAGCAATATAAGTGCGTTTTGTTTAAATGGGTTCTGTTGTTTTTCACCGGTTAAGTTTGCCGTTCTGCTTTGGTCAGTCTTTTTGGTGAAATTCGCAGGCACATGAACAACGCGCGATCGAAATTCAGTTCCAAGCTTTTGTGATGGGTCTCTCTGTAGTCATTCACGAAGATTTTCACTTGGAACAGTTATATCTTTCGTCAATATCTTTTCGTGCAGAAGAGTGATGATAACGTGGTGAACTACTGGTGGCTCGGATGCTTAGATATCGGAGTGGCTCAGTTTTTGTTGCCCCCCTGACTGCTGTACTGTAGGCTGAGATAGCCAGACTCTACCTCAGTCCATGAGTTTCATTTTATTTGCATGATATCCGTGCGCCCTCAAAAACCGGTATTTCCTGGACTGAAAGCACACTGACCTCCAGTTTTGACATTTCACGTTCAAGCATATTTCCATAAGCTGCCCAACAGGCTCTTGCGTGCATGCGCGTCTGCCCTATTTCTACCAACCGGTGTTTATTTGTGGTCCAATCCAAATCTATCACATCTGATTCTACACATCCACCTCGTACTTCAAAGCCAACCAGGTGAAAAAAATTACAGTCTCACCATCTCCACCAATACCATTTTCCATGAGAATTTCGTGCACACCCAGATTGTCATCTCTGACGAGCCGTCGATGTACCATCAACTCAATTTGTCCATCTTTCAGACTAGTTCCTCCCTGAGGTCTGTCGGTGTAGACCGCAAATGCCAAGGCAGGTAAATCCTTCTTCTGTTCACCCATTCTATCATGGCTTTCCTGTCCCCGCGTTACTGGTGGTTTTCGTCCTTTCAACAGAATGCGGTTGACAACTGGGTAGTAGTTGACCGCGATGGAGTCGGTCATATTGGTGTCAGATTCTGTCTTCCGTATTCGCCGAATCAAACGACGTCCAGCAGAATCAGTGAAGAATTCACCTGAATACAAATGGAGAGGTACTGAGTTTACTTGGGACTGGGCTATATCAATAGGATCAGAGTTCATACTGATTCCTCTCCCCACTCCCGTTTTGCCTATGGAGTCTCATTCTGTGTGTTTGTACACAAACGTTCGTTAAGAACACGCATTTTTAACGATGGAGTAGGGCTGTTTAAGTGCCCTTTCATAGTTCCTTCTGCCTGTTGGTTCACGTGATGAATGGTCGCACAGTTAGCCAGTTTCTGTCTAGATACAACTCTCAAACTATCAGTCCGGTTGTGCTACTTAAATAAGTAGTAGAAATAAATGTCGCATAACAGTACGTTCTAGATAATCTACGTTTTACCTTATGTATGCACTACGGCATCACAAAATATCACATGGAAATGTTCAATAGCGTCCGATCTGATAATTTTCTAAAATTCTGCAGACAATAAATAAGTGGTAGTATAGTACGGACTTTGTCTCTTGAAAAGAACGATCCTAAACTAGCATGAACCTAGAGAGAGTGGGCAAAATTTGCGATCAGTCGGTTAACATTACAGTTGGCTGTAAACGCAGGTTGACCTGACACACTTGATTCCAGGATTAAACCACTTAACCTTGTTAGGTGTGAGCAACATTTTGGTTGCTGGCATATCGCCTGGTGTTTAGTGTACTAGATGAGTACAGCTCACAGGAAGGTCAATTTTCAATGAATTTGAAACCTCCTTCTGACAAGTCGTTAGTCGGGAAGCCAGCCAGTCAATAAGTGACCGCAAGTTGTGATCTAAGCCACTGTATGATGGGTGGAGCTATGTTCTCTCTAGGTGCGGGCTGATCGGTCACTCATGGCTAAGCGGTTTGATGCTAGAAAGAAAGCGTTCAGCTGTAGCACCCTTCCGGTGCCTAGCTGCCATGCCACCCGAAGGGAGCATGAGGGCTGGGATACTGCCAGGTTGCCCAAGCCTATACAGGGGAAGTCGAGTGGCGGAGGTCGGATTCGAACCACGGACCTTCAGGTTAGTAAACTCGCGCTCTAACCACTTCGGCCATCTCGCCCTGATGAAGCATCTACTGATCAAAAACAGGTGCCGGCTCAGTGAATAAAACGTCTTACCATCTGTGTAGGTTGAGCTTTCAGCATATCTCTCAGCAACGAGAAAGTGCGGTTTGCTGCCTTATGAGTACATCCGAAACGTTCAGGTGTGAAATTCATGCATTTAGTTGGAGCCATTTTCTAGTCAGGTTTGCTTAGAATCAGCGTCGTAAATACCAATATCAGCCTTGCTTGCCTACTCTCGCTCAAAACCACGTGTCCAGTTTTCATTTGATGCCGAATCGCCTGACTGTCTCGTCAATGCAACCTTGTTATCACTAACCTTAATGCTTAAAAGCCCGGATGGAATGCGATGTTCGTCCTACCGATCCACCTCCAGTTTGCTTTGAGGAAAATTATTCCCGGCGGTAAGTCTGTGTGTTCGTTTGCACCGAGCAGTCGATCAATCAACGTCTTCCTGTTCCTCAGTGATTTTCATTTCAAACTGGGTTTGGCCCAGATGCGTTCACCCAGTCCCACGCTGGCAAAACACAGAACCTAATCTTTTCACAAGGTTGCTGAAAACTCTTCGACAGCCCACGACCGGTTTCGCCCTTCCACTTTGGGCTCATCAGGTAGGCACGTGGTCCCCGAGTTTCCGTCAACCGTATGTTCTACTTGAACCCAAATTGGACCGTTTTCAAGAAATACACTCATTTGCAAATCAATTTGGTTTTCATGAGAGACACAACTGAATCTCTCGTTTATGATATTCTACAGTCCAATGTGGATTCAAGTAGAAAATAAAGTTGACGGAAACCCGGGGACTGCGCCCACCTGATTAGCCCCAGGAAGGGCAAAAGCGGTCGTGGGATGTCGTAGAGTTTTCAGCAACCTTGTGATTAGTTTCCTTCATGAAAATATACCGCGATCTCTCGAATACCATGCCGAATGAAACATGAGGCGACCTGTGTGCAGCACATTCAGTTGTAGAACAGCCCAAACGAGAGATTCAGTTGAGTCTCTCGTGAAAGCCAAATTGATTTGCAAATGAGTGTATTTCTTGAGAACAGAAGCTAATCATATCACTAGATGAATGGGCATCCAGAAGCTGAACCTTACTGGTGTGGTGCTACTCAGGTGTGATAGTGGAAATGGGCATAACTGCTCGGCAGTAATAGTGTTGATATTTTTGTAACAGGTAGAAATCAGATTACTAACCACTGTCCATCACTCTCTACATTTTTTCATCGAATCGCTTACCTGGAGTGCTTGGAAAAATCTCGGGTACCCCTTCTACCGTGTAGCGAACGATCACCTCCCGACTGACTGTGTTGCCTTGATCCGATATTGGACCCACAGTCCACTCAACTTCCACTTTTTGGTCGGTAAAATGCCTCGCAACAAGTGTAGCCCAGCTTGCATAGCGTGCAGTGATCTCATGAACACATGAGCCACGCGTTACCTACAATGTGCAGAGTTGTCAAGAAATACGCCGTGAAACTAAAAAATGCGGAAAAGTGAAAGGAACGTATCGCGCAAAGTGGTAGTAACTTGCTTTGAAGACATATCTTGAGATAAAATAGGTTAGTTTCAAAAATGTCCTGGCTACATGCTGTTTATCCGTAGAGGGTAGGTGCTAGCATTTCACCAGTCACGATTTAGCACTGGTCTCAGCGACAAACTCCGTAAACCATGTGAAGATCGAGCTTTTTTGGGATCTTTTAACCAAGTCAACCGAGTTCGCAGTTTTCCTCCAGGCTAAGCCACCGTGTGAGTCACAGTTAGGTTGGAAGCCTCAGCATTGTCTTTACTCGTCTGGGGTAACGGTACTTGCCTCAGCTTAGCTCTCGGTTTGAGCCTCCCAAGCTAGCGTTCACGTCAAAACAACCACCAAAGGTGCACACAGTATATCAACGCGTGAAATGAACTCAAGAACACGACACTTCATATATATGGGGTAGGCAGCGACAACCTAGGAATTCTGACGACTTCTGGGTGCGTCTTAGGCAGCCGGTATTCGGCCTATACTGGGTCATGATTGGCTGTTGGGTCCAGACTTTCGACCAATCAGATATCGGCTTGATGCTGGACCGGCAAACGAGCAAATAGCGCTTAGACAGGATATTGCGTTGCCCATTCTCCACTCACGGGATCCACATCAAATAGTCGACTGGCTTCTCGAGCAAACATGGTTGCTAATAGGGATGAAGCAGCTATATGACGCGTCTCGGCTTTTCAGCAGCCAGTCACAAAGCCCGCTCTACAAAAGAGTGGAAATTCGTCCAGATATAGGCAAAATGACGTACGGTTAAAAATAGTCTGACCAGATGTTTAAACACGATAGGTGAACAGGAATTTAGGTTTTAGCTGTTCAAGTTGAAAAGAAAGTGCTCTTCCCATGGTGACCAGAATTTCGAGAACACATTCCTTATATGTCTTCACTGGAACACACTGAAACGGACTACTTAAGGGGAGTCATTTTCGAACACTATAAAGGTATACTGGAAGTGTACCGCGTATAGCGTAAATCTTTTCGGATCAGCCTTAATACGAAAAAGTTTGAATTTGTGGTAGCTATTGTGTCCCAGCATAAAGCCCACACGAATGTCAGACAGCTCGTCAAAACAACCGGACCTCACTCACTGTTACAAACGGCATCCCGAAATGAAAAGCTTCTGTTTGGCTTTTTGGGGTAAATACGTAAGCTCCAGAAGGTTTGTATTCCGTATCACTGTCGTAGTACATCATTTCGATTAGTATTTTGAACCGTTTTCCACTGGTCATGTGCTTGACCCACAGTATGATATTTCGTTCATTATGGCCCAGAAAAAATTGCATATGACTTGACTTTCGATCGAATATTTTCTCACCGAATGCATAGCCTGAGCCTTCCTTCATGGATCTCCTGGCAGTCACGTTAAACGTCGAAAAACCCAATGCTGTTAGCCTGTGTCCATCTTGAACGGGACTGAAGATCAGTTCCATATTTGCCTTTCCGTCTAGGGGTTCTCGTTCCGGGATTAACCATGTTCGGTCCAAAACGGGGAGTAGTTGATAGGTGAATGAAAACTGCGTAGGATTTTCCACGTTGACTATTTCAAACTGGGTTCCGCTGTCTGGCACATGAACTGGGATGCGAACCCACAGCATGTCCTCTAGACTCCATCCCAAAGGATTGTACAGGGTCACCGTGAAGCTGTATTGTGAATCAGCCACCACGGTTTCGGGACACACACTCAAATTTAGGTAATTGCAGAATACCGCAAGTTGAGTTCCACCAGAAAGGTGACCCAGTGCTTCTGAGAATATATTCTGACAAGTTTGTGAGGCATCATACAGGCGTCTAATGTAATCATTTGCCACATATTGCTTCTCTGTACCCGTGATCGCATCGTGATGTTGAAGTACGCCAAGTTCTTGTCGGAGATGGTCAATCGGAGTTGATTTTGCATTGTCAAGCAGGAGGACGTTTAACTGAAATGAACAGACAGCATGGTTTCGTCACACACAGGAAAAAGTATGAAAAGAGCTCTTTCAGACGCTGCTGTGGACTCACTGGTCCAAATAAGTAGTATGAAATATCAAACCAGGTTAATCATGACCTGGTGCTGTTCACGTTTATGACGTGTTAGTCACGCTACTCCACGTTCACTCAAACCAGGACGTGAGGCCATTTCGAAAAGACTGTCCCTTAGCGAAGGTTGACGGTGTATGAGTCTTCACAGACCATTCAGACAAGTTGGGGAGTGTGTGTGAGGCAATTACAGAGCGCCAGGTTGGTCAATGAGCACAGGTCTGACGAACACATAGTCTAGGTCCTCCAAGTTGGGTTTTGGAACATGACAAACTCCTTAAAAATATATACTGTTGTGACTTGCTACCAGGCCTTTTCCGTCCAATATTTTGGTTGAAGACTAATCGTCCTCCCGCCTACGACCTGGCGGTATCCAGGCTCATATATAACAGCCTCCGAAACCCAAGTCCAAAGCCGATAGGAATACTTTCTCCAGTCTGGTACCACCTTAAAATTTTGCCAAACGGAGGAGGCTTTTGAAGAAATGCACCTTTGGAAAGTAGGTGAACGGTAGATGAGACATGCTAAATGCACTATGTAGGAGCCCTTTGAAAGTACATCCACCTTTGGTTGAAATTAATTGTACGTCTGTGCAACGGCTCTCTATGGGGGTCTGCCAAATGGTGCCCATTAGCCTATCTTAAGCAGCGTATTTATAATGGAGCTACGAAGAACTTGCCAGTTTTCGCTGGGTTTTTTTTTAATGTCCATTCGAGTGCATTTCCCCAAATTATTGATAAGGCATCTTTCATAGAAACCTTCGGCGAGCATACTCGTTTTCACCTCGCTTTGGTTTTCACGGGAGACTCAAGTGAACCGCTCGTTTGTGATGTTCTTCAACTTAATGTGTTGCGCGTGGGACGCCTCATGTTTCAGGTGGTACGACGTTCGAGATATCGCAGTATGTTTTCATAAACGAAACTACTCACAAGGTTGTTGAAAACTGTTCGACATCCCACGACCGGTTTCGCCCTTCTTGGGGCTCATCAGGTAGGTGCATTCCCCGAATTTCCGAGTTCTACTTGAGCCCAAATTGGTTCTCACGAGAGACTCAACTGAATCGTTCGTTTATGATGTTCTACAACTGAACGTGCTGCACACAGGCCGCCTCATATTTCAGCTGCTACGAGATTTCAGATATCGCACTATATTTCCATAAATGAAACTACTCACAAGGTTGATGAAAAACCAAGTTGCACATATTCGGTTTTGACGGGAGACTCAGTCGAATGCAGGTAATCTGTCGTTTACGAAGGATGTCCGCTGTACTGCATTTCACCAGCTGTTCTGATGATAACTTATGTCTGATTGAAGATTAAGCATATGCATAGATGTTTGACAGGAGGAAAGTACCACGGTTTTTACCAAACATCTGTTCGAATTTCTAACCCCGTGGTGTCGCATAAATGAACTACTCACAAGGTTGATGAAAAACCAAGTTGCACATATTCGGTTTTGACGGGAGACTCAGTCGAATGCAGGTAATCTGTCGTTTACGAAGGATGTCCGCTGTACTGCATTTCACCAGCTGTTCTGATGATAACTTATGTCTGATTAAAGATTAAGCATATGCATAGATGTTTGACAGGAGGAAAGTACCACGGTTTTTACCAAACATCTGTTCGAATTTCTAACCCCGTGGTGTCGTTGCACGCAATGCATCAGCTGACTGGCACACTTGGAAGTGTACTGTCTGAGATTCGGCTGACTGATTTTGTTGTCAGATGAATTTATTCGCGCGACAGCGGTGCTCCTTTGGCACTTCAAACCGTAGGAGTGTGACTGAGACAAACCACACGCATCACGCATTCGCTGGTTTTCAACAGCAGATGAAGAAGCGACTGTGGATGCAACTGTGGCTGGCGTTTTGCCAGCCACTCTGGGTAAGGTAAATGTGTCCGTTTTGATGGAACTGATATGTCACTATCTGGAAGGGAGGGAAAATGTTTCGGGGAAACCAGATTTTGGGAAGTTTCTGTAAGGTACAAAAATACAGTGAATAAAGGTCGATTCTTTTGAGCTTAAGTACGCAGATTTTCAAGCAGTGGTAGTTCCCTTGGTTAACTGACCACATTTTTCAGCATAACAGTGATACACTTCTCACGTTTCCGAACTATGAGATCAGCGGTTCACGATCTCTAAAATTCCTAATTTCTTTCGAGTCGCTATACGTAGCAGCTGTCACGAACTACAGGAAGGACACACACTGAAAATTTAAACAAAAATCAGGTCTAGACGTAACACACTACTCATAAGGTTGCTGAAAATTTTTCGACAGCACACGACTAGTTCTGCCCTTTTCGTTTCAGAGGGTGTTGGTAAACAATCGGTGGATTGCTTGCTGGGCAACGTTTCGCTTTTGACACAACAGCTTCGTCAGGCCAAGTGAGTAAGTAAGTAGTTTGAATGTGTTTTAAGGCAGTCAGGGAAACAATCCGTGAGATTCCTTATGACTAGTGACTTGATCAGTGCTGGGTGTTCAGTCAGATGTTTCAGTTTGTTGATTAGTGGGGATGACTAAGATTTACGATAGATTGGTTAGTGTGATTCGTCATCATGATGAACCCGGATATTTCACAGAGGACTGGAAATGACACTGTATGTTGGATTCTAGGATAACTCCTTGATAAGCAGTTTCTATCAGAAACGGTGTGGGCAATCCGGCGAGGCGAGTTGTTTACAACGGCGTTTTGGAAAAAATCATTATTCGGTCCTAGAATATATATATATATATATATATATTACTGAAATAGGTGCAAACCTATGGTCCGTATACCTGGTAAGGGGCAGATGGTATCAAGATGTGGAATACCTTTCTACGAAGCTCTCAACCGTTTTAGTGAAGCTCCCGCCTATAAAGATGGATAACTGCATGTATCTGCAGGTGGCTGGCCGGGCTGTTGACGAAGCATTCCATCCCAACGGGGTGAAGTGCTAAGGGTGATTACACCACTCTGAGTTAGGCATGGAAAACAGCACTCTCTTCGGCAAATGATAGTTCGGCACACGCAACACATGTCCATCGGAATTCGCTTACTTGCATACACGGAATATTCGGCAAACTCGTCCACATACATCCGCGTATTGAACAACACTTCTCTCTACATCGACAGAATTACGGTGGATGGGAGCGCACACGTTTGTAGCAATTCTGATCAGTGGAGCACGAATACCAATTAGCATTACTCTATCTTTTACTTCAGTATTTTGCCAAGAAGGGACGACCTAACTACCCTTCGGTGAACACTGAAAACACATTTCGGAAGAGAACCATCAGCAGAGACGATGCTTCACCGACGAAATGCTATCCTCGGTCTCGCGCAAACTCCAAGCGGGGATTGGTTCTAAGTGGACCGCGGTGCTGCTGTCGTAATGAGGAGACTGACAAGAATATTCTCTGAACAAAAACTAAGCAAACGTCAAAAGTAAACTCATGTAAATGATCAGGTGAAGCATGAGCGCACTTCACAAATCCCTCCATGCAATGCATACACGGAATACCGATGTTCACAATTCAATTCGAAATAAACCTACGGTCCGTATACCTGGTAAGGGGCAGATGGTATCAAGATGTGGAATACCTTTCTACGAAGCTCTCAACCGTTTTAGTGAAGCTCCCGCCTATAAAGATGGATAACTGCATGTATCTGCAGGTGGCTGGCCGGGCTGTTGACGAAGCATTCCATCCCAACGGGGTGAAGTGCTAAGGGTGATTACACCACTCTGAGTTAGGCATGGAAAACAGCACTCTCTTCGGCAAATGATAGTTCGGCACACGCAACACATGTCCATCGGAATTCGCTTACTTGCATACACGGAATATTCGGCAAACTCGTCCACATACATCCGCGTATTGAACAACACTTCTCTCTACATCGACAGAATTACGGTGGATGGGTGCGCACACGTTTGTAGCAATTCTGATCAGTGGAGCACGAATACCAATTAGCACTACTCTATCTTTTACTTCAGTATTTTGCCAAGAAGGGACGACCTAACTACCCTTCGGTGAACACTGAAAACACATTGCGGAAGAGAACCATCAGCAGAGACGATGCTTCACCGACGAAATGCTATCCTCGGTCTCGCGCAAACTCCAAGCGGGGATTGGTTCTAAGTGGACCGCGGTGCTGCTGTCGTAATGAGGAGACTGACAAGAATATTCTCTGAACAAAAACTAAGCAAACGTCAAAAGTAAACTCATGTAAATGATCAGGTGAAGCATGAGCGCACTTCACAAATCCCTCCATGCAATGCATACACGGAATACCGATGTTCACAATTCAATTCGAAATTCAAAAAGCACACTCCTACGTCCCTCTATCTATTCAGTTTACGTTTCACTGTATCCAGACATTCAGTTTGGTAATCTGCGAGTTCGTTTCATGCAGTGACGGCCTATTAACTTAACACTAAGCATGCTCGGCTACGCCTAAATGAGTTTCACAAATTTCCTCCTTCAATTCAATATACTTACCTGCTCAACTGCCGTCAGAAGTGCTGAACTCTGTCGTACGTAAGCTTTGAGAGCAGGTCTGCTTGTATAGAAGCCAACCCAATAGTTTGATTCACGGTCTGAATAAGGAAAGAAGTCGTCGAAGCGACGGTTAAGCCGTCCTAGTTTTTCAAGCTCTCTGTTCACCGCCAGCGTGTAACAGGCTGGTGTGGAGTAGAACCAGTTCGTCTGCTTGTACGGACCCAAAGTTCGTCCGTTGAATTGTTGGATCAAACGATCGACATTGCGAAACGTAATGTTGGCATTTTTGTAGGAGAAATCACATCCCATCGGCAGGAGAAGATGATTGGTTTCATATGCTTCTTCCATCTCCTCTAAAATCTCTGTAAAAACGGCGAGTTCAGTAGCGTCTTCTGAAATGAAAATGCTTCCATCGTCAAAACTAATGTCTCGTGGGTAGCAATAGGTACCTGAAAAGATATGAGTGAACAATTGCCTCGCCTTTGTCCCCATTTGTTCTCGTGTGTCCCACAGAAACTGCAGCGTTCTATTTCGTGCTCTTTGGAACTTTTCCTGAAAATGTGCTCGTTGGAATATGAGAGAATCGTAGCCAGCTTGTGCCATCAAATCAGCTCGGTCACGCGCGTGACCAAATGTATCGATTTGCCAAGCTGTGCGAGGTAGACCGCACTTTCCAAAAAGTTGGCGCAATAAATAACGTCCTCGTGTGAGCTGATCAATATCATCCCCATAGTATACGGTAGCTTCGTCGGACATGGTCCATCCACCGTTAGCGAATTGCAGCCTTCCAGCGCAGACGAGTTCATGAACAGTATTTCTATACTCTGCAGGTTGCCGTAGCCACCACATATGAAAATAAGTCATCTCAACGTAGGTAAAGCGGTATTCACTGTTCCCAATAAGTTCTGAAATAACACTGTTGAGGATGTCATCAACTGAATCGTTATAGTATTCCTCCCAGCGTGTAACAGGCTGGTGTGGAGTAGAACCAGTTCGTCTGCTTGTACGGACCCAAAGTTCGTCCGTTGAATTGTTGGATCAAACGATCGACATTGCGAAACGTAATGTTGGCATTTTTGTAGGAGAAATCACATCCCATCGGCAGGAGAAGATGATTGGTTTCATATGCTTCTTCCATCTCCTCTAAAATCTCTGTAAAAACGGCGAGTTCAGTAGCGTCTTCTGAAATGAAAATGCTTCCATCGTCAAAACTAATGTCTCGTGGGTAGCAATAGGTACCTGAAAAGATATGAGTGAACAATTGCCTCGCCTTTGTCCCCATTTGTTCTCGTGTGTCCCACAGAAACTGCAGCGTTCTATTTCGTGCTCTTTGGAACTTTTCCTGAAAATGTGCTCGTTGGAATATGAGAGAATCGTAGCCAGCTTGTGCCATCAAATCAGCTCGGTCACGCGCGTGACCAAATGTATCGATTTGCCAAGCTGTGCGAGGTAGACCGCACTTTCCAAAAAGTTGGCGCAATAAATAACGTCCTCGTGTGAGCTGATCAGTATCATCCCCATAGTATACGGTAGCTTCGTCGGACATGGTCCATCCACCGTTAGCGAATTGCAGCCTTCCAGCGCAGACGAGTTCATGAACAGTATTTCTATACTCTGCAGGTTGTCGTAGCCACCACATATGAAAATATGGTTGATAATCTTTTCCCACGTCCCTGGTCGCGATGGATAAACCGACGATGAGCAAGCGAAGAATAACCGAGCTTCTTAAATCTCGAATCATCTCGCGGTGGGACTTATGAATCCGGAGATGACTGGCAGGCAAGTCACGTGATAATAATCGATCCAGTGTGGTCGTTTGAAATAGTTATCTAAGAAACTGCAGCCGGCCACAAGTAGAGATTTATTGTCAATGAGGTAACGGTCGTTCCAATCAACTTGATAAACCAATTGAGGCTAACGATATTTGTAATGCACTACTTATATGGTTGCTAAAAATCCCACGACCGGTTTCGCCCTTTTTGGGGCTCATCAGGGAGCTGCAGTCCCCGAGTTTCCGTCAACCTTATGGTCTACTTGAAACCATATTGCACGAACTTAGCGAAGTACACTCACAAACAAACAAATTTAGTTCTGGAACCCAGCTGAATCTCTCGTTTGTGATGTTTCCAGGTAACTGAATGTACTGCACCAGGCCGCCTCATGTTTCAGTCGCTACGATATTCGATACATGTATATTTGTAATTCGAGTGAAACATGAGGTTTCCTGGTGCAGCACATTCAGTTGCCTGGATACATCACACACGAGAGACTCAAATATGAGGTTAACGATGCTTTACTTCAATGAAGTATATCAAGGGAATAGCCAAAGTAACTACCAAAGCTACATACAAATGGCTATCCGAAAAAATACGTAACGATTGTTACTATCATAGATAACAATTGAACCAGGAAAAGCGAAACCGTTCGTGGGCTGTCGAAGATATTTCAGCAAACTTATGAGTAGTGTATCACGTCTATACAATTAAACATCTAGTTTTCCGCTACTAATCGGAATTTCGCAGGTTTCGGTAGCGCTGAAAATGCTTCGTTTTCTATGATAGGTATGAATCAGTACAGCATACGCCAAGACTTTACAGTTCGCAGTGTGATGAGCAAATCATGAATGGATTGCTTCAGTGTGGGTCAAACAATCGTGTGGAAACTACAAACGGCTTGAAGCATGCGTGTTACACTGTCGATCAGTTATCTCACCTTTACCAAGCCAGCAACGTTCGTCGGACGATTCGATGAGGTGAAACTACGTACTCAGTCTTACCAGGTCAGTGTTGACTAACTGCAACATAGTACTGGTGAGGTGAAGGGGAAATCTGACAGCCCAAGCACTAATGTGGTATTTGATAAAGTTCTCTACAGCTTAATGTTTCTTTGGAGAGTGTTCAAATACCTTTTGAATAGAGTGTTACGTCAAGAGAACTTTGGGAAGCCTCGAATATGACACCACATGAAATATTGGGCGGTCTTTTTGCAGAATATTCAGTTGAGTTCTATAAAAATATAAGCGATCCATCTACTGACCGGAAGGTCCGTGGTTCGAGCCCGACCTCCGCCTCTCGAATTCCGCTCTCTAGGCTTGGGAAACCTGGCAGTATCCCATCCTTCGTGCTTCCTTGCATCCGATCCATTTGATTCTGCCGTCAAAATCAAGTCAGTTTTCAACTTAGCGAATCAACTGAGTTTTCGAACATAAAACGGCAAAACCAGATGGACTTGCGATGAAATTAAACAAATTCATTTATTCAAAATCAACTTTTGGACGACTTTTTCTAAGCTCTCTTGCAATCTGTACGATCCAGTATATTCGTATAACCTGAAAGAACTAGGTTTTTCCTCTGATTTCCCTGAATTTTATCATCCTTCGCCTTCCTTGCATCCGATCCATTTGATTCTGCCGTCAAAATCAAGTCAGTTTTCAACTTAGCGAATCAACTGAGTTTTCGAACATAAAACGGCAAAACCAGATGGACTTGCGATGAAATTAAACAAATTCATTTATTCAAAATCAACTTTTGGACGACTTTTTCTAAGCTCTCTTGCAATCTGTACGATCCAGTATATTCGTATAACCTGAAAGAACTAGGTTTTTCCTCTGATTTCCCTGAATTTTATCGACTGTGACATCGGTTATAGAACATCGCTACTCCGAACAGTTCGCCTCAAATTCACTGTTTCTTGCTTCACCGGTACATTGATTACAATAACGTCAATTCTGACTTTGACTCTAACATTTGGTCGCACTTTTCACGTTTGTTTCCTATTGCCGCAACAAATTTGACTCAGTACATCATCCATGTCCCATTCGCCAAGTGTTTGAACGGTTTACCCTAACCGAGGTGGGCCCAGTCTGTTCGTGCTGACCACCTGGCTTTAACCGAGAGGCTGCGTTTACCACATCTTCACACTCCACCAAGTGTTGGAGCAACGCCACATGTACAGACGACCCACAATCCTGGGTATTGTTTGACTTCAGGGGTGCGTTTGACTCTGTTGATCGATCAGTACTGTTAACTACACTTGTTCAACAGGGTATGCCCAAGAAGTTTGTAAACATAATCTGATCCCTATATTCACATACTTCTGGGCGGGTAAGAGTGTACGGTGAGCTCTCCAAAAGCTTCCCTACAAAAAGGGTGTCAGACGAGGATGTTCACTCTCTTCATTCTTGTTCAACTTCGTCATTGGTGAGACAACGAGGCGAATACTGGACGAATACGCGGATGATATCGGCTTCATTTTTGAAGACCGAAGCAAAACACAAGCTTGTTGAATAAACTGACCACCATCATTCCATCTTTTGGCATGCGTCTTGAACCTTCAAAGTGCAAAGTCATGCCTAAGAACGTGCCGTATGCGTACATATCCCTTACAATTCAAGGAGAACCACTGGAGATTGTGGAAAACCTTACATACCTCGGCAGTTGTATTAGCTCTGACGGAACTGTGTCTGATGAGGTCAGAGCCAGAATCTCAAAGGCTCGAATCACGTTTGCTAATTCTAGTCACTTGTGACGTCAAAGGGGCATCTCACTGGATCTTAAGGGTCGGGTGTACCAGGCTACAGTAAGGGATGTGTTATTGTATGGGTTCGAGACATGGCCTAAGCGGACAGGTGATGTGAGATGTCTTCAGGTTTTTGACCACCGATGCCTCTGAAGCGTGGCTGGTTCTGGATGGCGTCAACGTGTTAGTAACGAGGTGGTTAGCAAACGGGTATTTGGGTGCGGTTCAGGCACTTCAATTCGAGAGAATCCAGCATCATTGACTATGATGGCTCGGTGATGTGCTACGCATGCCGAAACACCGTCTACCGAGACGAGTGTTGTTCTCCGTGCTTCTTTCAGGATGGCGCAAACCGTGAGATGAACAGCACATGACTTGGCAGAAAGGCGTGAAAGAGCTCACGAAGAGTTTGGGTGTTGTTGGTGTTGTAAGCATCCCAGGATGGGGTCCCCTTGACCCCGTCTGTGCTTGGTTGGAGACGTTGCAATAAATGGCGGCTAATCGATGTCAGTGGCATTCGTGCTGTCAGTTCCTTTCCAGACTACCCGGTTGAGCGTTTGCGGGTGTAGGCACCTCAGAATGCTTGACATAGGCCAGCCCTAGGTATCCTCCCTCAACCACTCTTTTCTCTTTTCAATCTAGGGATTTTAATATAATTATATATATATATAACTAGATGAGCCTTATGGTTGGCTGTACGGCAGTGAAGCATCAGTGCCAACACTGATGTTGCTGTCACTGATGATGTTGCTGAATGTGACAGGGCCAAACTTGAGGTAGGTTGCTTGTTTATCCTCTCTGTGCGAATGGAATGTTTTACTGTTGGAAAACCAACAATCGTTGCATACAAGATGACTTTTTTTCGAACAGCT